CATGGGGTAATGTATCAGGAAACACTTCCTCTTCAGCTGTTGGGCAAATCATCCTGGAAGACTTTGATGAGCCTCTCGAGCCATCTCCTGTGTCACCATTTGATTCCGATGCTTACAAAACCTTCACTGGGACAATCAAGCAGGTCTTGGGAGAGGACATCATCGTTGCGCCTAGCTTGATGACGGGGAACACGGATACGAAATTCTATTGGGGCCTGACGCCAAATATCTACCGCTTCAGTCCAATGAGGGAAGCAGGAAGAGCGAATGCACATACAGTTGATGAGAGGGTTGGGATGAAAGAGCACATTGAGGCAGTGAAGTTTTACGCCCAGCTGATCTTGAATGGGGATAAATCATGATCGATTGGAGGCGCTAAAGGGGTAGAAATGGCTTGGAGGCGCAAAAAGCACAGATCATACGTCGAAGGCGAGGTCTAATGGTATAGTTATTGACCATGAAAGCATCCTTGCTGCAACCATAGCTACCTAATCACGAGATAAGAAGGGTCTGAGGAAGTGGAGTCAAGTGACCTTTGACATCAAACATGGGTTTTAATATGTCGAAGAAGGAGATTAATATACATTTCTATGGGACCTGTTCAGTCAATATATTATTCGAATTCGCCTGAAAAGTGTACACTAGCACTCGTATACCTTTAATAAACCAAAGTCTCCTACAACGGGTACCTTCTCAAAACACTAGGCCTTGCGACATCTGGCGAGACTCTCATAACTTTGGTAGTCCCTCGAGAGGAAGACTTTCTCCATCTGCTCTCACAGCGAGCTTTCTGGAAGAGGATCTGGATCCTTCAAGAACTAGTACTTGCAAACCGAGTAATCTTCGTGTGTGGTCGCGCAACCTTTAGAGATACGGATATCACACAGATTGGGTCTTGGCTCGCAAAACATTCAACTAGAACGATACCTAAAAGCATTCACTTTGCAACGTGGTTTGACTTTGAAGTCAGCTTCAACAATGCTTTCAGGGTGCCAACGCAACCGCTAGCGCTCGCGGTCGGCGTCAAGAACGTCTTTGACGCCAAAAAGCCAGATGCTTGGGCTTTATTCAAATCTGCTTCAAGTCTTTAGGCTACTAATCCTCGTGATCAGTTGTATAGCTTGCTGGGTTTAGTAGACATTAGGATCGAGGCCGATTATTCGAAATTTAGCGAAGTTGTCTACCCCGAGTTAGCTACTATTATGCTTGAACGAGCACCTCTTGATGGGTGGTTTCGGCAGACTCGGGGGATTAAGGCAAGTCGTTATACTAGGATACCATTATTCCTCTACCATAGGAGCTAGCAACCTTTCCTTAATATACGCGCTACTATAAAAAGCTCGCTAGCGAACTATACGGCCACGACAAGCCGCTCAGTCAACGCAACTTTACGGCCCAGAGGTTCCTTCCTTATATAAGCCTCTCAGCTCTTGCACAGACGGAACTCAATCAGGCATCTTAAAAATAACCGTAACACCTTCCTTACCCAATATATGTAAAACCCTGCTCAGGCTTAGAGATTCTCTCGGGGTTGTCCAACCTCAATGTAGTCGCATTGCCAACTGCTACAGCACCATACCGAGCAGGTAGGTGGCCAACCGCAACCAGGAGTGAATCTAACGAGGCATTTGCGTCTGGGGCATCAACCAACAAAGGGGATGCAAAGGCTTTTGCGAGCTCAATGGGTGAGAGCGTAACCTTGCGGCCAATGGTCCACCAGCCAATATAGAGGGGGGTGACTGACAAGGCTCCAAGGAGGATAAAGACCGTAGCCGCGGCGAAGAAACCATATTGTGAGTGGTAGGTCGTCTCGCTGTTACTCTGCAAGACCTGGATGCTTTGCGGATAGTTTCCGAGATCTACAAGTTCAGTGCTCGTCCAGTTGATCAATTCAGAGAGATTGCCGAAGGGGATTTTGTTGGCGGCGATATAAAGGACAGAGCGGAAGGCGAGCTCGCGTGCGGCGTTGAGAATGTCAGAGGTCGAGTCGGACCACGTCTGGTAGCAGCCAGTGACTGAGAAGTCGGTCTGGATGTATTCAGCGGCGGGCACGCCAGTTGATGAGCCGATCCAGGCCACCCCACCGCCCCAACTCATTGTTGAGGAGGACCCAAAGAGTGCTTGGAGCGCTAGGTACATGCCGCCGTGCGTCGAAGGGCCTGAGCCTGAGCCACCCACCTCTGGGCGCGCCTGCGCAGTGTGGTCCGTCTGGTAGGAGCCTTGAAGCGAAATGGTGTCGTTGGTGACAAGAATGGGGTAAGTGATGGTGGCTGGGCTGAGCGTGCAGTACACGAGCAGTACTGAGCCGTTGCACGATGGCGCCTGCTCTTCCTGTACCGTGGCGTTGTAGGTGATGGGACCGTAGCCGTCGTAGTTGAAGACTGTGGAGAAAACGGCGCCTCCAGTGGCGGTATCATTTTCTGGAATGTTGAAGGCGGCGGAGCTATTAACGCACAAGATGGTATAGCCCGCACCTTCGAGCAAACCCGTGCAGTTCCCAATGCAGCCTGATGCGGGGAGCGGGATGGAGAGGCTGGCTGCGTACTCACGCAAGACGGTGGTGAAGTTAGAATTAATCGACGTAGGTATACTGCCGCGACCTGAGACCTGGCCAGTGAAGCCCCTGGGAAAGGCGCGCGCGATGGGGATAGTGAGGTTCTTGTTCAACATGACATCCAGAGGTCCGACGATGGTGGCACGCTGTAGGAGTGGTGCATGAATCGGCGCCATCGCCACGACCAGCCCAGTCATCGCAATCCAATTAAAGTGCCTGCCAGCTGTAAGAGCCGCAAAAGCGCTCGTGCCAAAGGCCCATGTGTTGTGTAGGTCGCGGACCGTCGCGCCATCCGCCATGGCCCGCGTCCACCAAGCAATAATAACGCCCTGGCCCAGTGCAATGCCAAGTGCGATAGTAGCAATGGTCGAGGCGATGGAGAGGTACACGGTTGGCTGCACCCGCCATGTGCCAATGGGTTGCTGGTCGGATGCCGCGAGCACCCCCGCAGCCGCTCCCACTGTACAGAGCACAATGAGCAGCGCGAGGATGCCCATCCAGGGGAACCGGTACCAGAAACCTGTCTTCCAATGGGCCGTTGCTGTGTCTCCAGCCGTCTCTGCAATCTGCACTGGCTCCCCCTTGATGTCATTGCGTGCTTCCCCCATGCTTGGAACCTTGGTGTTTGCGAGGAAATGGAGTACTTTGTGCTCTGTGAGGAAGATAGAACGAAGCCAGCCAGCCAGGAAGGAATGCCAAAGCACTTCAGAAGAAAACGGCTTGGCTCGTTGCCTTTATGTTTATGTTGATACCGAGTAAACGCCTCTTCCCCACGCACACACTAATAGGAGTGTTACACGAGTATGCATGCCGTTCCGTTCAGCGAAGAATCTACCACTTTCAGCTTTCAGCTCGAGCAACGAGGATACCCAAAAAAAAGCCACCAATTCTGTTGGACCTTTGACAGGTAACGGCCAAAAGCCACAGAGCCATAGAGCCTATCCGTTACGCTGCCACCAGATGGGACTTGGCCCGTGCTTTATAAGCGAACTGAATTAGCAAATCGTATCGCTAAATTCCTTGATTTAAAGACCTTTGATTTGCTATAATTTTGCGGTATATTTAGTCACGGAAAGTCCCACCTAGAGGCAGCGTAACGGATAATAGTACTTATAATAAGGCTAAGGATTATTAAGAATAATAAGACCGTAAGAATAAAAAAGCTAAGGGCCTAAATTGAGTATAAAAAGATAAAAGAGATAATATAAGAAAGCCACTAGGCTAAAAGTAAAGAAGCAACCTCTAAGCCCTAAAGCTGTAACGGCACGGACGATCACAAGCTGGCAAAGAGGCATATGGAAGTGCGTTCACCAGGCTAAAAAGATCGATTCCATCTAATACGGAGGAAACAAAGAAGATAAAGAAGAAGAAGGAAGTGAAGCTAGCTAAAGGAGGGGAAATATGCCCGCACAGCCGTGCCGCACGCTAGAACCCCTTAGTTCAGGGGTAAAATCCCTGAACCACGTGACCTAAAGACTCGCCGTTACAAAAGCCTACTGTTACTTTTGCACGCAGAAGATAGCCCCGACGGTTTCCAAAAATGGGATGTCGTTTGTGTTCTTCCAAACTGCCATGCTCCGTTGATTTTTCGCAAGGCCGGTGAATACTACGAGTTTGTCAGTACTTGTTTTGTGCTTGGACTAATGGATCGAGACGCGGCAGAGATAGTGTTGCGAGGGGAGGCATCGCTGAAAAGGATTCCAATTTGTTAAATTCAGCGTTGCTGAATTATCCATTACCTCTTTCTTCTGTACACTCTGGAATGGAAGCAATATCTTCGTTGCTTCACGTGGTGAGCGGGGGGCACACCAAGAAGCATTCCCACAAAACGTGATAATGCTCTATTGGATTGGAGTAAACAGGAAGATGAGCAATGCATCTAGAATCTCGAATTTCTTAGTAAAAATAAAGAAAGCAAAGTGGTGTAATAGCTAGCCAGATCATTGGTTTTTTCACCTTCATCCGTTCTTTAAATCGCAAGTGAATCTGGAGTGTCTCGCCTCGCAACTGCAGCTGCTGCACTTAGCCTAAAGAACCTCTCTATACTAAACATAAATAATTTTTAGCACCAAAAGGATTCTTTAAAACTGTCAAAAATAAATAAAGTTGGAGGCGGTTGGAGTCGAACCAACGCATACCACAGTTCGAAACCCGACAAGAAGGCAGACTAGTGCACTCGACATCTTGGTGTGCTGGCAATTAGAACGCCGCTCGTTAGATAGTTCCTGTGAGCTCTACCGTTGAGCTACGCCCCGTAAGTTTTGATTTGACAGAAAACTCTTATTTAAGTGAATAAAGTGCCAAGTCTTATTTTCACCCTTAAACACGTAAGCGAGCTTCTCACCCCTTTCCATTTGAGATGCCCGGGCCCCCTCGAAGTGAGACCAAAAATTAGCAATCTCTCACTATGAAATAGAAATAGAACCTTTTAAGGGGCAAAATATGTTGGAGACGGCTGGAGTCGAACCAGCTCAATACCACAGTTCGAAACCCGACACTTGGGAGCAGAGGTTCCACCCGTGGGCAGTCCATCCTACTGCTCTTCAGCGTTAGATAGTGCCTGTGAGCTCTACCGTTGAGCTACGTCTCCGGTTAATTGTACTGAATTGTCTTATTCAAGTATATATGGGGGAAGGGACTTCGCTGAAGTACTTTAAATCACGAAGTTCGCTTAAAAAGGGGTTCAGGGGCTTAGGGTCCCTCCATCACTTCAAAACACTTACGGGCTTTAATTGCTAACAATAATCTCACAGTTGGCAATTTGATTTCAACGACCTGTTGTATTCATATCTTCTCGTACTAGAGAGACGTAAATTGATATCACCAAGAAGCAGCAGCACATGAATCATCACGTGATTAAACAAGTAGTTATTCAGGCGAGACTCGCAGTTCGAATCTCGAACGGCTCAGCTGCAGGGTTCCAGACCGTCACACAGTCCCACTTACGATCGGAACCGCAGTGCCTTGAAAGTGGTACAAGTCAAGCTCGCGAGTCGGATGTCGCTTCTCCTATCGGGAGTGGGATGAGCAAAGGGTGAGAGTAGCAAAAGTAATTGCCACTCTAGAAGCCAGAATGGGCCATCAGTGTGTTGTGTTGTTGAAGATGGGTCAATATATGGTTTCTGACACCGCGTCGTGACAAGAATGGCATGATATCATAAGATGGTAGATGGGTTATGAAATCAGGGTATAAAATGTAATGTTCCTCAGGTGAATAGAAATCACTTCCTCTCCTATTCTGCTTGAAAATGGGTTTTATTGAAAATGAAATTGAGGTTGCTCTCCCAATCGCAGAGCTGAAAGATCTTGTTCCTGGAATCACTCTCTTGCCTCCTCTAAGTCGAAGAGGCTATGGTCCTGGTTTGATCATTATCCTCCCGAGCGAGACGCCTGAATACAAAGGAGGTACTGTCTGTGAAGATGGAGTGCCTCCACCGCTGTTAAAATGGTCTGAGGAGGGATGCGCTGTTGTGCAAATATTGGAGAGTGCTTTTGAGGCAGCAAGTACGACAGAAGCACTATTCGAGATAGCAATTTCGGGGTTGAGAAATTGTCCTGAATGTCACAAAGAAGGCGGCATTGGGCTGGTTGGTACTCAAAATCAAGTCTGCTTTGTTATGCTTTACTGACAGAAAATAGTGTACAATTCTGCAGTATGGAATGGGATCATTGTACAAAGCACTTTGACTTCTTCAATACTGGCGGCTGTATGGTATGGAAGTGCTTCTGAGGCTCCGCTCCCCGTTTACCTCCCTCCCATGTTTGGAGCATCTTGCTGGAGGAGCTGTATCAAAGACCATCGAGAAAAATGGCTTGACGAAATATAGCTACCCTCAGCGAAATCGAGATTTGCCGTTCCTGGTAATGAAGACATTGACAATGCAACCGAAGCAATATCATATACAAGGAACTTGACCTTCCTCAAGAAATACATTAGGGGCGCAGACTTTGATCTGGAAGCAATATGGGAGGAGTATTGCTATTTCGAGTTCAAGGATCGGTCGGTCGGAAGGAAAATGGGAATGATGGTCCAAGAACCCTATGTCAATCATATTCCAACTGTGAATATCCTGGTAGCATCTTGTGCTCAGACACCCCCCGCTAACGTTTTCAGATGACCGGCGGCAGGTGTTGAAACCGTTGCGAAGATGCTTGACAAGAATGGGGCGAGATCTAATGAGATGCTCGGCTACAAGGCTAGCGAGTCAGCATCATACGATAATTTATTCTCGGGGTGTGGCCGAATACATGTGAGGCTGCGGATGTAAGATTGATTCTATTGCTGTGCCATATTACCGCTGGCGAGGTAGTGATCTACCAGTATATTTCCGGTCCTACGCTGCATCCGTTAGGTTGTCAATTTATCAATTACAGCGTCTATGCTTGCCGTATTCGGTGAGGCTTATGAGCCATAATCCACGAGCAGGGAAAATGCTGGCAGATCATTCCCTATGCAAGACCGGATCTCTTCCGTCATACGGCGCACGGTCTGGTTTTGCTTTGTACAAGTTCAGTTGACATCCAAGAACTTTTCACTCCTGTTGCAGGTGGGACTGGTTGACGCAGTCTGGCTCTGTTGTCTTGGTGGTCTTGAGATCCTCATTGAAGTCCTTGTACATCCTCAGCAGGATGGGGACTCAGGAGAACTCGGGAGGAGCAAGAGCTTCGGATCTCGGACCGGAATTAAGCGAGATATCTCAAGATAGGGGGCTCGCTAAGTCGCTAAATGCACTCCCCGCCGCGGACATTCAAGTCCACCTTCGGATGCTCTCCGAGGGATGACCCGAGTCCCGACACGACAAGTCTTGAGTACCACGACAACTCCCGCCATCCTGGCATCCTGGCCTCCGGGCTCAGGCTCAGACTGTGCCACAGCCACTGATGTGTTTGCGGGGTTAGGGCCCAGCTTAGGGGAACCGATGAGCAGGTAACGTTAACAGGTCTCGGGTTCCTGTCATCCTGTTACAAAAGGATATGCACCACCCAAATGCTCCCCACCCCACCCTCCAAAACACCTCCTCAGAACTCGTTCACATAACCACCCATCCTGCTTCCCACCCAGAGCCTTTGCTAGCTTGCGACTCGATCCTCAAGCTAATGCTTACCAAATAAGTGATCCAAATGAAGAGACATTCTTGCAAAGTACCGGGGTGCGGAAAGGCATTCTCGCGTCCCTCCCATCTTCAACGCCATGCTTTGAACCACTCGGATACACAGTTGATTTGCGAGAGATGCAAAGCTTGTTTTAAGCGATTGGACTTGCTAGGTGTGTCACCCACTAGATTCGAGTCCAGGCTTTTGCTGTTGTTTACTCCAACCCGTATGAGGCCAATCAAGTACTGATGTGAGGATGAAAGAACGCCACAAGGCCCGACATGCCATCAGAGATAAGCGCGCTGGTGGTATTGGCCTTGGTGTGTTAGAGACAAAGAGCAAACACTTCAAGGCTCCTTCTGCGTCTGCAAGTGTGTCTGCCTCTTCTCCTCGTCGAGCGTCATCCCCTTCCACAGATCGATGTCAGTTATCACCTCCCGCCACCGAACCTCAAGACGCCGATCCAAACCGCAGGACAAGCAATGTGTCCGACTCGGTTGATTTCCTGTCAAACCAGCGCAGTGATCACTGGAGTTCGCCTCAAGAGATGTCAGGGGCTGAGTTAACAACGGACTACCTCAACTCTCAACTGAACTATCCGAACACCTCACAGATGACAAACATGTACATGGATCAATCACCGGGGTTCTATGGAATTGGAAATATGTACCACGACATGACCTTTGACTTGGTGCATTTCAACGTCACAGGCTTCGCTCCTCAATTACCTGACTATCGCCCATCTGCAATTCAAGCGCTTCCGGAAGGAACAACCCAACCTTCCGAGAGCGAGGGGCAGCTTCTGTCGCTGGCTCCCTCCATAATGGGTAACGGCACTCTCAATCAACACGGCACAGAATCGCAATTCACAGCAGTACCTGGGCTGACCCCAAGGATGAAGGTATCCATTGAGAATGTGCGTCAAGAAGAGAGAATGTCAGAGAATGCCGCTGAGGATGTTATTAGAACCCCAATTATCGAATCAACATTTCAAGTTGATGCTAGGCCAAATCCTTCGAGGAGTAAAAGCCCGACTGCCACCCCACCGTTACCAGCCCATTCTACAATGGACGCGAACCCACTTGAACCACAACCTGTCGCGCAAGATATACGAAGATCACACACTTTCACTTCGGAGAAATTTCAGATCCTCTCACTCACATCCGAAAAGAGAGATGAGGTTCTTGAGTTCATCGCTGATATCGGTCCTGTCCGACCTGATGGCACGCTGATCGATGGCCACAGCCCCGACTTCTCGTTAGAGAACATGCAAATATATTTGGATCTATTTTTCGAATTCTTTAATACATCTTACCCTCTCATACACGTGGCGACTTTGGATATCAGCGACACCGATCTTATTGCTCTCCTCTCTCTGATGCTCCTGGGAGCAACATACAAAGACAAAGATGCCCATCAACTTTCTGTCTGTTTGTACGATGCAATCGTACCGTATATACTCAGTGGCTTGCTGAGCGGGCCGGTACCCGATCTTGCAATCCTGCAGGCTTTCTTGGTATTGGAGTGCTATGGAATGTACAGGGCTGGTCCCTATCAAAGAGAAAATGCCATTCTCATCCAGGGCCTACTTTTGAATGTGAGTCTTCTTCCATTCTCGGCCCTTACGTTGAGTTAAGTTGAGAAGTCAAGCCGAAGAATATCCCGATACCACGTTAGAGCACGCATCACACTCCCAGATCGCTTGACCCACAAAGAACGAGATTGGATGGAGTTTGCGTATGCTGAGCAGTACAAAAGGTAAGCACAGCTGCTGGAGCTTTATTCTTCACTAACACGTCCAAGACTTATACTATTCTTCATTTGGGATACTCAAAATGCTACTTGCTATTCATTCATGCCGAACATGTCCATTCAGTCTCTGCAGATTGGGCTTCCATGCTCGAGGAAACTCTGGGAAGCAACCAACGGCATCGAATGGAAGGAGCTGCTCTCTGAGCACGACGATTCCTCCACGCTCCTTGATAAGGTCAAGAAATTCATAAATAGCGACCACGAAATGCTGCAAAACCCGTACGACAGTCTGAGTTTCAACCTGACATTACACGGCCTCATGTCAACGGCCAACGACATGCTGCACTTTGACAATCGCTCCATCTACGCCGGCGAACCTCAAAACGTCGAGATGTCTTGGTCTCCTGGGCAGCAGCAAATTGCACAGTCCTTGGAATCGTGGAAAGCCAAGTACGACGCGTTTGCTACGGAGACCATCTTCGACATGAACAGCGAGCCGCTGCACTGCGCCTTCCAACGCGATTCCATGGCCATCTTTGCTTTGTATCACACAGGACACATCATTATCAATTGCGAGATCTGCCATTTGCAAACGGCAGCTGGTGCAAAAGCAATCTTTGGACATATTGTGACACCCAGCGACTACGAAGAGAACTGTAGATGGGTTCGCAACTGGGTCCGCAATTCACCTGAATCAGCAGGCAGAGCAGCGTGGCATGCAGCACAGATGTTCCGGGAAGGGAT